GTTGCTGCCCGCTGCCATGCTTTTAAGATGCGAAAGAGGTACACGGGCCTTGAGCGATGTTTTCTAAAACAAAAATAAGGAGGTTGCGAAGTGCGGCCGAACCGGCTGTGCAGCTCGCAGCGAGTCAGAAAAGACCTGCCGGTGACTGCGGAACCACAGCTGCGAGTGGTATCGCTGCATTCGCCGGCTTCCAAAGGAAGTTACTAAATGATTACATTGTGTAAATATTTACATAGCACCTCCTTGATAATTCACCTAGTCACTGTTGCTTCTTCTGCAGATCGAGAAAGAACGTTACTCCCGTTTAAACAAAACCCTCCCTCAAATTTGAGTTAAAAAAAGACCAGATTTGTTGTTACAGTTCTGTACTGCAGCTCCCATCCCCTGAGACTGCATGCTAGAGGCTGCAGAGCAATGTTACACCATGCCAGCAGGCCTTTTTGTAACAGTTTCGTGACACTGGAAGACTTCATGTCCTAAAGCAAGGAGTTAACGCTCTCCTGCCAAGCTGCTTTTTGGTAGCCGGGTTCTCCAGCTGCACAGGCTGAAGCTGCAGCCCGGTTTTATCACGCACTCGCCTCTCTGATGCGCTGAGCTGGAGTTCCATGGCCTGTTTCACGACACTTGTGCTGCTGTGGACAGGGCAGTCCCTCTGCCCTCTCCCAATGCCTCCTGCAGCGGAGTGACTGGCTGGTGGTAGAGACAGAGGGATGTAAAACACGTTGATTTTCATGAAGCCCGTGACACCTGCAGCTCCTGTCCGCTTTGGCTACCTTGGCTGTTCCTGACTTACGGCTAGAAGCAGATCAAGCCAAATGTACCCTTGGCCGGGATGTGAGATGGACAGCAACCAAGAACTGGGCCCTCAGGGAGATCTTGACCTCTAGATCAGCCACTTGGACTTTTTCCTTCCTGTCTTGCCATTCTCCCCGGTTTTACAGCCTCTGCTGCACCCAGTGTTAGGCTGGCCACGATAAGAGAATGTGCTGGATCTGCTGGGGAGGAAGGTAGACTCTGTCCCCTCAGGGCCACCGGCAGCAGGGTGGCTCTGCGGGTCACTGGTGAAGCCACCGCTGCCTTTCTGCGCCACTGGAGAGAAGCTGCGACCCTGCTGTGCCCACGCACACCTCACACTTTCCGATACAGCCAGCGTCGGCATCGATACTCATGCATGCGCTCACTGCTTGTGCAGCGTGACACACTCGTGTCTCAACCAAGCGGTTACAAGACGGCCAATGGATGGATGCGAAGTTGGCCATAGGGCAGGGGCAGCTCATGGAGGCCTGGGGAGAGACAGAGAGGAAGCACAGCACCCCTGTCCGGGTGGCACGCACAGCCCCTTTCGGCTTCAGCACCCCCGTGGGACAGTGCCGGCTGGTGCAGGAGCAGAAGGAGAACGGAGCGCAGGACGGGGCTGGGATCACGCGCTCCACCTAAACGGCATCTCCCATGGCCAGCTACAGCCCTGCCTGGTCCTGTGCTAACTGCTTACGGACCTGCTGTCCATGAACGAGACTCGTCCTGTTCTGAACCTTCTGACACTCTGCCACTGTGGCCCCTGTGCCAGCAAGGTTTCCTGCATATAGCATAAAAAACTATTTTTTTTCTGCCCATTTGAATCCAGCCTCTTACATGTTTTAGAATTGTCTCGAGTCCCAGCATTGGGGAATTTAGTGAACATATTACTTAAATCCCCCCGCCCCTTCAGCCTTCTGCTCTCCCAGTTAAGGAGTCCCAGCCATTTAGTGCCTGCTCCTTACCAGCACCACTTCAGTTGCCTTTTCCCCTGCTTCGTCTCAGCCTTTTGCTGCTGGGCTTCTTGGGGGTTGTTAGTGAAAAGGCTGCAAGTTGAGTTTGAGGGGGGGGTTGCAGTCTCTGCGCTGATGCCTTTCCCCTGGGCACAGCAAAACATAGTATCATTTTTTTGGAAAAGCATTGCCCAAATGAAGCCAGGAGCAGCTACACACGCTCTGACCTCCCCCCTGGTGCAGTCTCTGGACCATACTGCAAGGGGAGCACCGGGGCACTTCCCCATCCCTTTCCATCCAGGCTGATGGCAAAGACACTCCTTCTCACAGCACGCAGCTCCCCAGGCTCCCTGTGCTTGCACAGTGTGACGTTCCAGAGTCTTGGGTTTGCTGCACACGTGTTCAGGTTGTTTTTCTTGCGGTACTCTTCGTCTCCATAAATCAACTCTCAAAATAGTTCCCTCCTCACTGCCATTTAGTTGTTTAAATCTGCAACGCTGTTACTTAACGCAGGAAGGCACCAGTCACCCAGCCTGCCTGAAGCAAAGTCTGTACGACCACAGATTTTCGGAAATACAGCCAAAAAAAGAAGTTACCGTTTCCTGAACGCTCCCGAGAACGACCGCCGTTCATTCAGGAAAAGCCGTTGGCCTTTGGCGAGAAGGAGGGAAGGAAAACTACACCTCCCAGCAGCCTGCCGGCCCCGTGGACGGGCAGAGTTCACTGTCAACGTTGACAGCAGAGGATTAAGGGTGCGCGTTGGGGGCACGGGCTGGCCTGCCACCCGCAGAGCCGAAGGCCTCTGGGAAGGGCAAGCAAGGGGCCAGCGCTGCTTCCTCTCGCCTCCGCTTCGCTTCGCTGCCCCGGCTGGCTCCGAACCTGCCTGGGTAAGTGTCTGACTCTGCAAACCACTTTGTTCCTCTGACTTCCTTCTTCTGCCAGAGCGTCACCAGCAGGAACGGCACAGGGAGGGGAGGGACGAGACAGACTGCTGTGAAGGCCGGGTGTTGAGATTTTGGCACGGAAATCCGCACCCACCGCTCTGCAGCGGGAAAAGTTTCTTGGGAGTTTTCCATGCCGCCTAATTTTCCGTGGGTAGGCGTTGCGCTCATGAAAGCCCTCAGCTTTCTCAGGTTACACCGGCGAGCCTAGCGCCGTCCTGCGTGGCCATCCCATCCCAAAGCGCTTTGGCAGAGGAGGAAGTTTCACTGCAGGAGAGTCAGGCTGAGTCTCCAGGTTCGCAGCGCCCGGCCAGGGCACTGCTGGGCCCCATCAGGCAGGCGCAAGGTCAGGAGGCTGTAATGTTGCTACAGAGGGGCCGGGCAGTGCTTCTGCCAGCGGCTTCACCTTCCAGCACCGCTGTGTCCCGATCCGACATGCTGGAGGCAGGAAGGTAAGGTGGGGCATCGCTCTGTGTCGACCTCCTTTTTCACCGTGAATCACTGCTCCTGTGTTTCTGCTTATCAGGTTTACAGGCGTTTAGTTGCAGCTCCCGCTGTCAAGACGGGATGGTGTCTGTGAGGGGGCTTGGGCAGCCACTCGAACAGCGGGGAGATACGTCTCCTTACGGCCCAAGGAGAAAGTGAAACAAAACGGTGCAGAAGCCAGAGCTCCAGGAGAGACAGAAAATGGAAGAGAATCCAAGCGTGGATCTGTCTGGAGGTAAGTGAATCCTATGCTTGTTCCATCTACTAGGAAAATCCCTTTGCAAGAAGATTTCAACAGTCACATGGGAAACCTAAGCAAAATAATAATTAAAAAAAAAAAAAAAAAAAAGAAAATCCCCTCTTTTCCAGGCCAAGAAAAGCAAGTTGCTATCTTTTTTTGAAGGGTGAAAGATTAACAAATTACTTTCAGTTTTGGATTCCCATCTGCAACAGGTTTGGACTGTGCATCCAGGATGGCCGCACAAGGAAGGCTAAAGAGGGATCTGCAGACTGGGAGAGCTTTCTTCCCTGCATCCCAGTGCTTCCCATCTACAGATGCTTAAATAATAAGCCAGTTTCCCACCACCTACGGGTAGGAAACCTCTGGAGGAGGCAGGGCAAGGAGTACTGTTTGTGCCCGATAGCAGGATACCTCCAGGTTGCTCATATTTCAGTTTCTACCGTGTACTTACATGCTCCGGCTGCCTCGTTATGACTACTACATGGGAGTATTTCAGTGACACCGTGATGATGCTGTAACTAGCTCAGATCTGTCCCAGGCAGTCCGAAGTCTTCCCGTAATAATCAGCAACAAGGAATGTAAAAATCATGCTCCGAGGACAGCATGTTCTGACAAGTGCAGCTTTTTCTCTGTTTTCAAATTAGTAGGGAGGGTCCTTGCCATTTTCATCAGTCTTTATTCTAATTTTAGCACATTCGTTTCTGTCATCGTACTGCTTGATCATTCATAAGCAATTTTTCACAAATAGCACCTGAAATTTGAGCTGCGCTGTTTGGTTTTGTAAGATTCAGAATATGTTGCAAACACTTATGTTCAGCCTCAGAATTTCTGATGATGCTCCAGTGTTTGCTTTTAATTATATGATACCAGAGCCCTTCGGAAGAG